TCCTCCTCCCCTGTAGCGGCGCTGCAGACCACGCGCCGCCACACACATTAAGCAGGTAAAATACATATTTAGGCAGAATTTTGCAAGTATTTATTTTTCTTTTAATTTTTCAGCAGCATAGAGCTTTTTTTCCAATTATTTTTTAAAAGTCAGGTCAAGGCTCCAAAAGCCCAAAGGCGATATGAGGCTGACGACTCACAGCAGTTTCTGTTTGCTACTTTTTCAGCAGCTACATGGTTGTTTTGTCACAACAGTTCAGCAGGATTTAATCATTAGTAATGAATTTTATTCTCTGGTTCTCTCCCACAGTGCATCTGTGTCTGTCCCATTGTGAGCCGGCTGGAGGTTTCTTCCTGTTTAAAGGGAGTTCGTCCTTCCAGCTGTCACCAAGCGCTGCTCACAGGGAGTCATCTGACTGTTTGGGGTTTTCTCTGACTTACTGCAGGGTCCTTAAATGTAACTGAATGAGATTCACTCTGACATTTATTCTGGGCCTAAACACACAGAAACATTGGTTTTGATATTTAGTTTTCACAGCAGACTAACGTCCATGATGCGTGAACTGGTTCTTATATTTGACTCAAAGTGTTTCTTCCAACACTCACACTTCATGGACTCATCAGGGGTTCAGTATTTAGCCCAAGGACACTTCAACATGCAGACTAGAGGGAGGAGGGGCTCAAACCAGCAGCTTTCTTTGCAGTTCACAGTGTTTGTGTGCGTGCTGCTCTCACCGGTGCAGAGTTGTCCTTGTTCCCTCGGGAGCGGACCATCCTACCAAGAACCTCCAGCCCATCAGTGCTGATGTTTCCTGCTGCGTTGACGGTCTTCTCAGACACCATCTTGCAGTCAACGAACACTTTGGCGCTCGTCTTACTGATGGCGAGGTGAAGCTGCAGAGAAGGAAGAGATACAGTCGCTCGTTTAAAGTGTTAGAGGTCCAAACATGGATGCAAAACAAGTGTTAAGATAAATGCTGTTAATAAAGAATAAATTATTATTAATATCTGTGATGATGACTCCTCACAAACATCAGCAGCATTTAGAAGCTGTGCAGACGTCTCAGCCTGCAGAAAGTAGGAGAACAGCGCCCCCTTCCTGTGAAGCTGTAACATGACCGAGCTGTTCTTCATGTTAGTCAGTACGCTGCTCACACACTGACAGTCGAATAACACAGAACACCAACAGCGCACAAACATTAAACACACAAGAACAGCTCAAAGTTTCATTTTAAGACTGCTGGGAGACCTCGCACGACTTATTTATGGTCTTTTCTCCTTCCTGTCAGTCACCAGTGCAGCACAGGTCTGTCCTCTTTCAGCCGTTTTCTTTCCACCTTCACCCAGTGAGGCTAAAAAGCCCCACAGAACAGAAACAGTCTCCTGATACAGAACATCACAGAGTACAACTAAAACTACTGTTTCCAGCACTTATATAATTAAATTATTATTAAATTACATTTAAATGTGCATTAAAACACATTTCACTCCATCTGCTTCCTGCTTCATTAACACCACAGCAGCTAATAAACTGTTTTAATA